TTCAAATATCTCATCATTTGATTATTACCAGATATCTCATCACCTTTTTGCTCACAATTTTTGAAAATAAATCCTTATAAATTCTAAAAATTATCAAGCTCTATTTCTCTTTCAACCTTTTTTTGAAAGGATAAAAGATGATATCTTCAATGATATTCTAACCAAATCAATCAAACGAACCAAATGATACTCTAAAATCAAAAATTTGTAAAGCACAAAAAAATCAACTAGAAAACGAAAATAAAAAATTTTAAGTTTAATTGCAAGATAGTGAGGGAAAATGTTTAGCCATTAATACCATTTGATGTTGAAATCATTGAATTTTCAGTTCAGGTTTTCAAATATTACGAAAGATGTATTTATTAAAGTCCGATATAGCTGTATATTGATAAAAGTCTCAACTTTCTTCTAGTCCCTATATTCCGACTACATGCTATGGCACTTTTATGGATCTAGCTATGAATGTTTTTACGATATTTGTGACATTTACTCGAAGTTTTGTAACATATGAACTCTTTCTTTACTTTTTTATGGTCAACTAAATATTTAAATATGCAGCCATACAGTTGCGAAGAAATTCGTTCGACATCAATTATATTTTACAACTTTGAAACGAAGATGCATCAACGATGAATTGTTTTGAACTTTCGCAATCGCAAACACCAGGTGGCGAACCGGTATTATCAGTCGTTTCTTCCCGACCCAGTCTCTCTGTTCAAAAACACAGTTCATTAGTGATATTCTTTTGTTTTTATAAAAACGTAGGAAATGTTCAGCCTTAATTAGTATTTTAACTCATAACTTAATATACAAGACAAACAATGCTTTGATTATATAGTCATTATATAGCCGTCCATCTCATAATGAAGGTAATCAATTATTTTCTTATTTTTTGCGCAATCTTTCTTAAAAACGTGAAAAATATTTAACTTAATCAGTATTTTTAACTTCGATCTTAATAAAAAGAAAAACTTTCTATAGATTCTAACCATCTATATCAAGCTGAAGATAAAAAATTACTTTCTTATTTCGAATTTTTAGCTACATCTTTAGTTTTCGCATGTAATACTGCAATATTACTACAATGTTTAAAAAATAACTACTTCTATACAACTATTACCTGAAAATTCATTTCTTACGATAAAAAAATAGAATTTTGTTGCATGTAATCTCTTAAGCGATTTAAAATAAATCAATAAAAACCTGTTTGTTATCGGATGTACTCATTTACGAACTACTGGTTTAAAAAGTTATGGAAATGGAAAGAATATTTTAATATCGTCTGTTCTACAATAAACTAACATTTCAAAGAAAACTAAAAACCATTTTTTGAATTACCAATTTTATTGATGTTTTACTCTAATCATTTTTAAGCCAAAGTGCTGAAAATAAATAAATAAATAAAATTGAAAAAACGGCGTTTTATGATTTATAAATTAACCCTTTTTTTTCGATTTTAAAAAATAGCAACAAACCACGTGAGATTTTTGATGCATTATAAAGATACATATGGCAAGCTAAAATACAATAGATTTTTGATTTGAATGCGCTGAATTCTATTTTCTTTTAAATAACTTAAAAGTAATGATAAAGTAGCTAAAAATTAAATAGCTTAAAGTTAAGTTGGCTGAAACAGCATTTAAGTATCAATAATGAATTAATTAATGCACCAAACGGATTTACACAATATCATATCTTTATTCTCCTATCTAAGGGATAAATGTCACGATAATACTGAAATATTTATACCCGGAAATGCAACTTCTGTTAAATTTTTATTCGAAGAGGAAAATTTTCCCCATATTCTTTTATTTATTTTTTTTTCGAACAATTATACACGTTTTATCACTTTGTTTTGGTATATTTTATACGGAAAAATTAATTTATAGAATTTGCCAATATACTTTTGAAAAAGTAATGTTATGTTTTTTATTACACATTTAAGCTAAAACAAATTTACATCATGCAAATTTAAAAAACACCTCTTTTTATGTTTTGTTTCAAGTGATTTGTATAGTGCGCAAATTATAAAAGATCACTCTAAATCAATCGTTCAAATTTTGTATTCTGTTATTAAAAATTACACAGCTAAAATTTGCATACTTTATAATTAAGGAGCATTTTAAACCTTATGAAATAAAATAATAATAATTATGGTAATAATAATTTTATAACCGTCGTTGAGCGGCCGACCCAATGTTTGGCTTTACGACTACTACTGTCCAACTCCGTAACCTCGCAATTTTTAACCCAATCCAGAAGACAAGGGAACTCCTGGATCAAGTAGTATTAAGAGAAATTTGCCTTCGTGGAGGATTTTAGATGAAACTAACCCGTATTTGCGTTACGTGGAGAGGAAGACCACGAGTACCTACCACGGTTAGCCTGACGGCAAAGGGCTCTAACCCATGATCCGTCTACCACTGAGGATATTTCCCCTCAGCACTGTGGTCAGTGCAAGCCGGATGTGGATGCGTATCAACCAGCCATCGCTGGGATTCGAACCCGGTTGCACCTCATTGAAAGGCGAATGCCCTATCCCCTGAGCCATCCCGGCTCATTAACAATAGTTGTTAAAAGTTATTTTTGCATATTATTATCTTTAGATAAACGAATTTTATAATTGTGTGTACGCTTCAAAAGTTCGTGAGATGTCGCAAAAAGTGCAAAAGTTAAACCAATTAGATGTCCAAACTTTCAATCTCTAATGGACTCTATTAGGACTATGTTTTTTCAGATTGCTGCTATCCCCTTTATATTTTAATACTCAGAAATTCAAATCCGTTTTTTCAGAGAAAGTACTTTTTTGTGCCCGATTCCGTAACTTAATAATGAGTCATCACGAATTAAATATAATATTTAAGGTCACCCTCTATAACCATTGAAATTAATGAAAATCCAATCATTAGAACGGAAATCATTTGTGTTGATACTTCTTTTTATTTTGCGCATTGTATATTTTAATTTAAATTTATTAGACATTTTTCTCTCCTTCAGCTGCCCACGGTTGATTATATGCACGTGAACTTTAGTCTTATCTCCAATCAAAATCTCGTGACTTCTTATCGGTATTGAATGTTGCATATGCAATGAAAAATAAGGGAACCCCTTCTCGCCAACCCTCAAAAAGATTACTCAAAGCGATTCTCAAATGTTTGCTGCTCAAACAATAGTTATCATTCTCACTCGTAACTATGATGACCTTCAATCTTATCCCAATTACGCTTGACTAACAATATATCAAAACTATTTTATTAATAAAGTTTATTCATTAATCTCAATTCTTTTTACAAATTCCTTTTCGTAATCACCCAATCGTAATTCTCGTAATCCCAATAACAAGTTTTTATTTCATAAAGACAAACTCAACTGAAACGGACAAACAAAATTAGAAAGGCAAAATGTAGATTTGAATACTGAGATTTATTGATCTCAATTCTTTTTACAAATTCATTTTCGTAATCACCCACTCGTAATTCTCGTAATCCCAATAATAAGTTTTTATTTCATAAAGACAAACTCAACTGAAACAGACAAACAAATATAGAAAAGCAAAATGTTAATTTGAATGCTGAGATTTGTTAATTTTAATTCTTTATTCAAATTTATTTTCGTAATCACGCAAATTAAATTTTTGGGGTCATATTTCTGTATTGTGATCTGTCGCGCAACTACAGTCGGTCGCCAAGATGCTCAGTGGATTTTAAATTTGCGATTAAAAAAAAAAGAAAAAAAAAGAGTTACCAACCTTTCGAGTTAGACCTCTTCTATCATATTTTTTATTTAATTTCTTGCTGGCCGCCGCTACCCGGGAGTTTCCAAGATTTGGCGATAATTCTGCCGTAGATCACGATACTGAAATCTTCCCAATTATAATAATAATCTGAGGAAATAAATTTTAGATCAACATAAAATCTACTTTTTTTTTTCTTCTTTTTTTTTTACCTGAATCTATTGTATTTTATTTTCAATTAATATACCTCGATGACGCATTAAATATTTCATCAAACAGATTAACTCGAAATCGTATCATAATTCGCTTCTCCAAATATCGCTATATTACTGAAATACAGTCGAACTTCTATTTAACGGACATCCATAATTCCTCTATTCTATAAAATTATTTTTTTTTTTGGGGGGGGGGTGGAGGGAACAAAGAACATTTTGGAAATTTCTTTGTAAAATAACTTCTGAGTAGAGAAGTGAATTTTCTATTTAACTGAATTTTCTTTGAGATTCACTTTCCCTATTTCCCAAAATATTTCAGAACGTTTCAAACTTTGCATTTTATGGGGGAAATGACCTTGAATTGATTTTCGAAGCCACTTAACTTTTAAAGAAAGCAGTAAAATCGCTTTCCCTTTTTGTTTGCATTTCAAACGAAAAACTCGAACAAAATTAACCAATTTTATCAGTAGTAATTAAATTTACGAACGCATGTGGTAATGTATGTTTAAAATTACTTTTATAATAAATGTAGATGTAATTTTATACACAAATTTAGCTAATTTTAATTGAAAATGTATGTTAGCATGATAGCGTAACACTGGATAATGTTTCGCTCGATTCTTGCTTTCCATGCAGATTTCTTTTATATTTAAGATTTATTGAAATAAGTAGTAGATACTAGTTTACAAGATAAAGGTGCATCTATTGTTATTTTAATTATGTCTAGTGTTTATGAATTTGAAGCCTGTTTTGTGTTGTTTAAGTATTTCAAAAGATGATTTTCTACTTAACGAATTTTCCATATAACAAACATATTATCGGGATTTAGCGACTTCGTTAAATAGAGGTCCGACTGTATTTATTAATTGGAAAGCTTGAATCAAATCTACTTGATTAAGTTATTCTTTTTTTTTGTTGGTTCAAATATATACGTTTCTTAATAAATACTAGTTCCGCAAAACGTAATGTTGTTTTTTTTATTTAACAATTTTAAATGTCGTAATTTTATCTTATTTTGTCAGAATGATTGCGACAATTTTTATTATTTTCAGGGAAACGTGTCATGAATCTCGGAAACCACGCGATGTGTATCCTATATGAGTGAATACATATGAGCAAGAACAGAGTGGAGTTGATTTATTTCTATGGTGTGCTAAAAAAGTGATGACTATGGCGAGTGTTTTCAAAATAAATCGCCAACTCCTTCCCATCAAGTTGCATTTCTTTTTCTTTTATGGTGGTAAGTGTTTCAACATAAAATAAACTAAATTAACGAAAATGTATATATTTGCATTAAACTTCATTATTAATTATGAAACTTCAAAGATAATAGAGAATTTAAAAAAAACTGTGACAAATTATTAATATTTCTTAAAGATATTAATAATAAATGTATCTTTGGCTGCTTCGTCCTTTAAGGAGCATTATTCAAGGTTTTTTTTTGTTTTTGTTTTTTTGTCGCGTTTTCGATTTTTTTTTCTTTTTCAATCATTTTTCGATAATTTTGAATGCTATTTTTCATATTAAGAGCATTATGCTGTTTAATGCTTTTCGTTATAAATGAATTAGCTTTAAAGATGATGCAGTATTTAAAAAAGAATTATGACAAATTATGTTATGATTATTATCAGATATATTGATAATAAATGTATTTTTGGCTGTTTCGTCATATATGGGGCATTATTCATGATTTCTTTTTTTTTGTCCCGTTTTAGGTTTTTTTTTTTTTAGTAATTTTTGATAATTTCGAATGATATTTTTCATATTTAGAGCATTATGCTAGTTAATGTTTTTCGTTATAAATGAATTTGTTGCGTTGTTTTTGTAGCTTTGTAGCTTTCCCCCAATAACAAATGCTGATGTTGAACAGAGGTTTTCAAATTATAAGAATTACTTTTTGAACAAAAAGGCAGTCTTTTATTTTTGAGGATATAAAACATTCGATATAAGATTATCAAAAACTCACAATTTTTAAATATAGAATATTTAAAATTCGGTTTCTCGTAAACTGCAAGACATATTTCTCTCAGATATTGACTTTTGTTATTACCCATTGACAAAATGGGTCTTGTTTTAGGTTTGATGGCGTGCGCACCTCATTTGGACGTCATCACACTTTTCAACTGTGTTCAAGAGTAATAGTAAACAGTGTGCCCGCATCGTCATTGCATGCGTTGCTATGTTGATCGCAGATGTTTGATAGTTTTTTTTTTTTTTTAGAATTTCTTTTTTTCACTTTTAATTTTTTCATGCATTAAGTTGGTGAGTTTTTTTCATTTCCCCAGCAGGCATTTTTAATGTATTTACATAATAATAATTCAAAGCATTTTTATATATTTTTTTTATTATTAACTTATAATTACTGTCTTGACGATGATTTCAATATAAATATGTGTTTTATGACGTCTTGAAACACGTACATAGGCAGAATATGAAAACCAATCCGACGACAAACATCAATTGAGACCCATGATTTGAAATGTTGTGGCGTTTATCGGAGTTAATCCAGAAAAAGACAATCATTTGACCAATGGGTAACCAGTGATCACAATAAAGCGATCATAATTTTTTTTTCAAATTAATTTTTAGTTGCTAACATTTCCCTTTCGAAACATTATCTTTCCTTTCAAAGTTTAATTTTTAATAAATTTATTTAAAAATCACAGTTTTTAATATCATTTAAAAACTTGTACCCCATATAACGAGGCATATGACCTTCTTCTAAAGATGCCGCTCGCTTTATAGATGGTTTTTTTCTCGTTTCCTCTAAATAAACCATAACACTAATTTTCTGAATACGAAAGTAAAAAAAAATATGCCTGAATTCTATATATATATCTTTTACTCAGTGACAATTCGTAATAATTATGTTGTTAGAATCCTTTTTAAAAACAAATAAAAACTGCACACTTGAAGTCAAAGACTAATATTAAAAGTGAGAAAAAGAAAAATATTTATTAACGAAGCGCGATTTAAACGTTTGAAACTTATCTGATTGCGGAGGGGGGGGGCAGAGGAGGGGAAAGACAATTATTCGATACACCTTGTTTCAACAGGCAAGCAAACTGGTTTTGATGTTTTAAATACCGCATACTTCTATAGTAATTAGCCTGGTCTTGATGGCGTTTTTGTTTTTGTCCAGTTTAAATATTAATCAATATTCTTTAAATAATAATAAAGGCATCAGTGATTACGAAACACATTGTTTCTATATATTTCCAAGAATACTCGAACGCCGTTTTTTTGCACAATACTTAGCTAATCTACAGATTAACTAAGGTAATTCGTTAAATTTATCTAGGGAATCTGTAGATTGACTAACGTTATCAAGGGTTTTCCACATTTTACGTCAAAGTAATGTTATGCATTAATGGTTAATTTCAGAAATTTGTTTATTTGTTTGTATTTAATGACTTGATTTTTTAGATATTGCAAAAAGTGCCCGTCATTATATTAGTTTACTTATTTATGAAAACATTTTAAACCATTTCATTACTTTTATAACAGTTTTTAGATTGATAGATTCTAGCAACTACTATGATAGTTTAATTGTAGTTACTTGATATTTAAAAGAGCGAAAATAAATGAATAACATTATATTACTTTAGCGTGCAGAAACGTTACTGTCGATCCATCAAAGATATTTATTTTTAGTTTAACCAGTACCTTTTAGGGTGTATGCGTATAGTTAATTTGTAGATTACCAAAGTAATTTGAGAAAATTACTTACTGAGATCTTATTTGCAATTTAACCTATACCTTTTATTTCATATGCGTATAGGTAATTTGTAGATTACGAACGTAATTTGAGAAATGGAACCATTTTTTTTCTGGCTCTTTAACGGATTACCATAGAAAATCTACACATTAGCTAGATAGAATAACTAATGCTGTAACAATATTCCTTTTGAACCGTTTAATTTATTTAACCCAATGAATTATCACTACCCTTGAAACTATTCCTTCATGTCCGTAGATGGAATAGTTAGTGTAGAAGTCATGTGAGACATATGTATTTAATCTTTTTTAAATATTTCACTACCATTTTTTAATATTTTTTTTCTCTTATCTTTTTTTCTGCAGCAATGGGAGGAGTTGTACCATACATGCCTGTCTATGCGAAAGAGCTAGGTATAACTGCAACAGCTGTTGGTTTCATATTCACCCTCATCCCCTTCTGCGTCTTCCTGTCAAAACCCCTCTTCGGCTACCTCACCGACTATTTCCGAAACATCAAAGTGATCGTCTTTATTCTCGTGGTCATCACATCGGCATCATTCGTAGCAATTTTATTCGTGCCTTCGGTAGAAAAACCCGACGAGTGCCATCGGTCGGAAGAGCTTTCCATACACTGCAACCAATCGTGCAAGACGCAGTCAAACGAAAGTTGCCGTGTCCTTTATAGAAAATGTGGCGGTGCAGTCTTAAAAATGATGGTCGTATTCGATGATTCAGACACGTTTGACATCAATGATACCGTGTCCAAAGAATTACCATGTTCTTCAATCAAAAGATCTAAGAGTTTAAAGTGCAATTGCATCGATAATCCTTCATCCACCCATTTAAACTGCAGTGTTGTATACTGTCCTGCGGAAGAAGATGTATCTATGTACGGTAAATTTCAATTCTGGATTTTTGTGTTACTAGCTGTTGTTTCCGGAACTGGCGCAAACACGCTTTACACCTTAAGTGACGCAGCCTGTTACGAAGTGCTTGGAGAGCGTCCAGAACTGTATGGACGTCAGAGGTTGTGGGCTACCATTAGCTGGGGTCTGATCACTTTGTTGGCTGGGTTTGTGAATGATGTAGCCACTGCGTCCAAGGGAAGATACGACTATTCACCGGGATTTTATATCATGATAGCTTTCGTCGTGTTAGATCTAGTGCTGCTACTTAAAATAAAACTTGCGAAAACGAACTTTTCACTGAACATTTTCCAAGATGTCAGAAAGATTTTCGCATCATCTGAAACTGTGGTTTTCGCAGTGGCGGTATACTTCAGCGGAGCTTTTTCAGGTCTTCTCTGGGGCTACGAGTTTTGGTACTTGGAAGAACTGGGTGCGACGCAAATGTTGCTGGGATTAGCTGCTGCGATTCAGTGCCTGATTGCTGAAGTTCCGATGTTCTTCTTCTCTGGCTGGTTCATCGCAACTTTCGGTTACTTCTATTGCTTGGCTGGTGCGTTTGCTGCTTTTGCTTTGCGTTTTATTTTGTACTTTCTATTACAAAACCCATGGCTGGTATTACCCATAGAATTAACCCATAGTTTCACATGGGCTGTTTTCTATGCATGCATGACGCGATATGCATCGAGTAATGCACCTGCTGGAACAGAGACCACAATGCTGGGTATTTTAGGAGGGATCTATGAAGGATTAGGTAAGTTTTTTTTCTATAATCACTTTTTCGTGTTAAATAAGATTTTTATGTGTTAAGCCAAAATGATTTAGTTATACTGTATGACTATTACATGTATTATATGTTCCGACAGGTGTCGCTACCGGCAGTTTGCTCGGTGGAGTTGGATTCGACAAATTGGGTGGACGCTATACATTTTTAGTTGCAGCTGTCATCAGTTTTCTGTGTGTCCCGTACATTTTCATCTCCTATTTCTTCCTAAAAAGGAATTCCAAAACTTCATCCTGAAACTGCTAGTGATGATAGAGTAATGTGAACTCATCTTTAAATTGATGAATTTCAGTTTTTTCATCTACACCTAAAGTTTAATAAAAAAAAGTAAACAACCGCATAATGCGGGCCGGTTCAATTAAACAATACACTCTTAAAAAATAAATAAATAAGCGGGAACAATAACTCATAGTCGGTACAGTTAGGTACTTTAAAAAAGAAAGTTGAACAAACTGCATCATATTATTCATTGTTACAATTAGAAAATGCACATTTAAGAAAAATGAACGTATATAAAAACACCGTTCCAGCCAGTAACTTTCTTTACTAGTTGTGTTATGACGAAAATTTTAAGGAAACAAATTTAGGTAAAAGTTTATTTTTGGATAAGTTCATTTACTAATTTAAATTTGTCAAACACTGCGTTACTAATTTCAAAACCGCTTGAAGTGTCAACCTCCGATATTACTTAAGTGCTGTTATAATAGGAAACCAATGCCATTTATTTTGTTAATAAAAAGTAGTATTTAATTCACTTCATAAATTTTAAACGTACTTTTTATTCTGCAAATAATCTTAATAAGAAATTTGAAATGCATTCTTTAATCGTATTTTATATGTTGGCATCGAGGACTACATGTAGTTGGATTTGCTCCAAGATCTGACGCAGTATTAGACAGGAATTATGACAACTGTAACACTGTGAGATTATCAATTATGTAGTTGGCATTTCGAAGAAATCTGGCACAACAATAGACAGATTTTATGTTCAACTGTATAGTTTATTTGCCATAGATGTTTATTGCATATTATTACTAAATAGTTGGCTTTGATACGAGATCTGACACCTCAGTAAACAGAAATTATCAATACTGTGACACTGTGAGAGTAATAAATTATGTACTTGGCATTACTACGAGATCTGACACAGCAGTAGACAGATATTATGATCAACTGTTTAGTTTATTTATCATCACTGTTTATTGCATATTATTACTCTGTGTAGTTCATTTATCATCACTGTTTATTGTGCATTACCACTCTGTAGTTCATTTATCATCACTGTTTATTGTGCATTATCACTGTCTAGTTTATTTATTATTCAGTTGATTTTGTTGCGAGATCTGACACAGCAGTAGACATATAATATGATCAACTGTTTAGTTTATTTATCATCACTGTTTATTGTGTATTATCACTCAGTGTAGTTCATTTATCATCACTGTTTATTGTGCATTACCACTGTGTAGTTAATTATTCAGTTGACTGTGTTACGAGATCTGACACGGCAGTAAACAGATATTATGATCAACTGTTTAACTTATTTATCATCACTGTTTATTGCGTATCTCTGTGATATTATGATGACAGATATTATGATATGTTTAGTTTATTTATCATCACTGTTTATTATGTATTATCACTCTGTGTAGTTCATTTATCATCACTGTTTATTGTGCATTATCACTCTGTTTAGTTCATTTATCATCACTGTTTATTGTGCATTATCACTCTGTGTAGTTCGTTTATCATCACTGTTTATTGTGCATTACCACTATGTAGTTCATTTATCATCACTGTTTATTGTGCATTATGACTGTGTAGCTTGTTTATTATACAGTTGACTTTGTTACGAGATCTGACACGGCAGTAAATAGAAATAATGATCAACCAGACACTGTATGCACTGTAAATATTTCATCAACTTCATAAATTATAAAGGTGGAAAAGTCACCGTGTAGTTTATTAATCGTGTAGTGCCGTATTGAGAGGTGAAAGTGGACTACGGCCACTAATAATGTCAAAAAGGGTTTGTAGGTCAACGATTAAAGACACCGAAACTTTGAAACTCTTTCTTATTTTGTTTATGAAATGAAACTTTAAGTTAGGTAAATACTTGGCTACAGTGAAATGTTTCATGAAGAACAAAATATAATTTTAAATAAGTTTAATAATAGCATTTTAAAGCTTTAAAATTTAAATGTTCTTAGCATTAAAGAAAAACTGTACATATGCTATATTGTAAAAATATTTTTTTCTTTAGAATCATTTTCATTTACATAACATAAAAATATGTAAAACATAGATTTCAGGTCTCTTCCTTCCTTTTTTTTTCTTCTTTTCAAGAGCATCTAATCTATGAATTAGACACGGACATCAAATGTTATGTAAAATAATTTGTAATTTTTGGGAAGAAAGTAAATAAAATTAAATAAATAAAAGGTCTGGAGCCGAAATAAGTTAAAAATTAATGTGTAAAGCAATACCAAATGTTTTTTATTCAAAAAAACTGTCAGACTTATTAAATTTGAAGATAATGTAAATGTATACTTTCAATAAGATTTTTAACACCAGATATACAACTCAGATGCAGAGAATTAATAACTTGCAAACGCATTTACATTTTATTAACATAGCAAGATAATAAATCTGTTGTTATGCCAGTCCAGCAGTGGACTGATTGTAAAGACAAGGTTCCCAGTAGAACACCGAAGTCAAGCATTACTGGTTGCGGTCAGTAAGCGGGTGGGTGACCTCTTTGATCAGCCTACGTAGGGACCGAGAGTGAGCGGTATCGCCCTTCCTATGGTTCATATTATTATGTGTCGTAATATATCTTACATAATTCATTTATCAATCCATTATTGTCAATCATCGTTCGATTTCTTAGTAAAGACGTTTTACTTTATGCGTTTAAAGCAAAGAAGGCAGGTTTTAATTTTTGAAAAAGAAATAAAGAAATTTTTAAATTAATGATGTAGATTGGAGACAGGGCCTACTAAAGATGTTCCCAACATTGATAGTTCGAATGCGTTACTCGCGTGATATTCAAAAAATGATGTTTTTAATACTCATGCTGGGTTTGTCAACCATGAATCCAGTGGAGGGAAATTCGTAGAACAAAAATTCACGGAAAAGATTGAAAACTAGAGTGGTCACAGAAGCTAACAAGTCCGATACCAAAACTGCACCAGTAAATCTTTACCTTATATCTTAAAATGAAAATTAATCTAAAGTCGGGCGCAGAAAAATTTTCAGAATTTGTGGAGGAAAAAAAAAACATTAAATGGAAAAACAAATTCTTTTTTTTTTTTTTTTTGTTNTTTTTTTTTTTTTTTTTTTTTTTTTTTTTTTTTTTTTTTTTTTTTTTTTTTTGCAGTTCTGAACAGTTTTCAAACATAATTTCAGGAGCCGCGATGGCTCAGAGCGTTCACCTTCCAATGAGGCGAACCGGGTTCGAATCTCAGTCGGTACGAATTCCGCATCCGGCTTGCACCGACCTCAGTTGTAGACGGATCATGGGTGAGAGTCCCCTTGCCGTCAGACTAACCGTGGGGGGTTCTCGTGATCTTCCTCTCCATGTAGCGCTAATGCGGGGGTTAGCTCGATCAAAAGAGTCCTCCACGAAGGCAAATTTCTCCCAATTCTCGATCCAGAAGTTCCCTTGTCTTCTGGATTGGGTTCAAAATTACAAGGCATTAGTAGAACATTAGTAGTCGTAAGACCGTAAAATTGGGTCGGATGTTCAACGACGGTTATAAAACATAATTTCAATGATATCTTAATGCTACTATTCTTTTTTATTTTTTAATGTTAAACCAACTATTTCAGATAGTTTAATCCCGTTAGTGTTAGATATTTTTATATTTTGCTATTTTTGTTATATTTACAGAAATAATTACGCTTTTTCGCTCCTGAGAAACTTCTTTATTTAAAAGTAAATCAACGTAAAAAATATTTTTTTTTGTTTAATTTAATAATGATCGATACAATTGAATTGTAAAGTAACAAGTCTTATAAGTTAAATAATTTAATACCGGAAAATTGTTTTTTATAGATCATATAACTAAATTTTTTATGAAAAAAAATATTTGAGACTCACATTTTTTATTTCTTGGACATTATTCTGTAGAATCCGCTCATATTTAGCCATCAAAAATTGCATTGTTTAAAAGAAATATAAAAATTTGTTTATCCTACAATTCAAAATCTTTTCAATTATTACAATTATGTTACAGGATGTCAATGATTTGAATCAAACGATTAAAACTGACGATTTATATCACCTGATCTGTTAAAAAAATGATTGATTCAAATCATAGTTAAAAAAGAAAGAAACTATAAGTTTGAGTATTGAGAGCAAAAATAACTTATAAAGTAATTAAATAATTTCTAAAAAATTTTCAAAGCATTATTAAATATACTTATTAATAACTTCAATAAAAATGAATAGTTTAGTTCTTGAGAAATATAATTTCCAAATTCAGATATTTAAAATTTTATTTCTTTAATTTGATTTCTATCCAATCCATTTTGCTATGTAAAATTAAATTCTTCAAAATGATGCGAAAAGATTTTATACCTTGTGACTCAAAATGCTTTCGATCATTATTAAATATTAAAAATATTTACTAAAAAATATTTTCTGCATGGAATTATCTTTGGATAAATGAATTTTGTAATTGCATGCAAAGTTTTTCGATTCGCTTAAAAAGTTCTTGAGATATAGAGAAATACGCAAAAAGTGAAATTAACATTTTGGGTATCAGAAATTTGATTCCGTCAAAAGAGTCATGTTTATTCTGAGAAAGTACATTTTTGTAACTTAAAATATCGTCTGCACTAATTAGTTAGCATCTTTGAAATCACCCGCTCAAACCTTTAAGATTGAGTCATAGAACATGAAAATCCAACCATTAGGGATCAAAAGTTATTCAGAGTGGTCCATTTTTTTTCTAATTTTGCGCATTGCACCTCATTTAGAAATTCAAAATTTAATCAGGCCAAATTATAAAAAAAAATAATAGTACAATTTAATTGATTAGTAAGAGCCAAAAAATATGTGCATGCTTAAGAGATTTAAAGCTGTCGCAGGTTCTGTTCTTTTAATGTACAATTATATGATATCAAGGAAAATAATCTCAAAGGAAATTATTTTATATTTAAACATACAAACAAAGATGACCTATGACCCGTGGGCTAAAATTTATAAGTTGGTCCCTGAAAAGTTTTAAATATTAATGAAATTACAGCCGGACTTTTTTTTTTCGAGGAACCGAGAACAGTTTGGAAATTTCTTTGAGATCCACTTTCCCTATTTCGAAAAATATTTCAGAATATTTCAAACTTGTAAAAGCATTTTATGGGGGTATTGACCCTGAATTGATTTTCGCAGTTACGTAACTTTTAGAGAAAGCAGTAAAATCCCTTTCCCTTTTTGTTTGTATTTCAAACGGAAAACTCAGACAAAACGGATTTTATCAGTAGCAATTAAACTTAACGCATGTGGTATTGTATGCTTAAAATTTTATTTTATAATAAATGAGACAATAATTTCATACATAAATTTAGCTTTTTTTAGTTGAAAATGTATGTAACATGATAGTGTAACACTGGATAATGTTTTGCTCTATTCTTGTTTTCCATGGAGATTTCTTTCATGGTTAACATTTATAAAATAAATAGTAATCACAAGATAAAGGTGTATACATTACTATTTTAATTATGTCAAGTGTTTATGAATTTAAAGCATGTTTTGCGTTGTTTAAGTATTTCAAAAGATGATTTTCTATTTAACGAATTTTCTACATAACGAACTTATTATCGAGATTTAGCGACTTCGTTAAATAGAGGACCGACTGTATACATAATAGCTAAACTATTTAAGAAAAAATACGAAAATTAAGACAAACTTTTTTTTTAACCTTGGAAAAAAATACTGGTATATTAGAATGGGAATTTTTCATTCAATATGTTGCGAATTCGTTATAAAGAATTTTTGAAAAATAATAAACTTACTTGTAAAGCAAACTACAATGGTAGCAATAGACTTCGTGTTCAAGTTAAATGTAAATCGAATAAAAAGTTTGAAGTAAAAAAACATTAAAATTCTAATGAGACAGGTAATTTAAAACTTTAATTTTATTTTTTACCATAAGATCTAAACAAATGTGTGGAAACTCTTGTATGGGAAATAAAATTTTTATTGCTCATTTTTAACTTTCCCAATAGGAAAAAGCATACAATATATAACGATTACAAAAAAAATTCTACATAATAAACCTCTTGTGTGGGAAATAAAATTTTCATTGTTTATTTTTAACTTTCCCAACAGGAAAAAGCATACAATATTTAACGATTACAAAAAAAATTCTGCATAANAATAGCGAAGTGAATTTTCTACTTAGCGAATTTTTCTTTGAGATCCACTTTCCCTATTTCGAAAAATATTTCAGAATATTTCAAACTTGTAAAAGCATTTTATGGGGGGTATTGACCCTGAATTGATTTTCGCAGTCACTTAACTTTTAGAGAAAGAAGCCCTTTCCCTTTTTGTTTGTATTTCAAACGGAAAACTCAGACAAAACGGATTTTATCAGTAGCAATTAAACTTAACGCATGTGGTGTTGTATGTTTAAAATTGCTTTTATAATAAATATGACAATAATTTTATACATAAATTTAGCTTTTTTTTAGTTGAAAATGTATGTAGCATGATAGTGTAACACTGGATAATGTTTTGCTCTATTCTTGTAGATTTCTTTTATGGTTAAGATTTATAAAATAAATAGTAATCACAAGATAAAGGTGTATACATTACTATTTTAATTATGTCAAGTGTTTATGAATTTAAAGCATGTTTTGCGCTGTTTAAGTATTTCAAAAGATGATTTTCTATTTAACGAATTTTCTATATTACGAACTTATTATCGAGATTTAGCGACTTCGTTAAATAGAGGACCGACTGTATATATAATAGCTAAACTATTTAAGAAAAAATACGAAAATTAAGACAAACTTTTGTTTCAACCTTGGAAAAAAATACTGGTATATTAGGATGGGAATTTTTCATTCAATATGTTGCGAATTCGTTATAAAGAATTTTTAAAAAATAATAAACTTACTTGTAAAACAAACTACAATGGTAGCAATAGACTTCCTGTTCAAGTTATATGTAAATCGAATAAAAAGTTTGAAATAAAAAAACATTAAAATTCTAATGAGACAGGTAATTT